ATATTTCAAATCGGTACCCAAACAAGCTCCGGCGCCAAAATTTTGCCAGTAGGTTCCCCGGTCAACTGTCACCTCAGGACCGCTATACCAACCTTCACGCAAGTCTGGGCCACCGCGTACGAGAAGGTGAAATTTTTGACGGGAAAATCGCTAGGGAATCAGAGAAGCTAGTAAGCTGAAATTTTGAGGTTATGTTCCCCATCCACATAGAATTCAAAGATTTCAAAATCAGCCCCAAGGTGTGCGTGGTACCCGCGTATGGTCACGTGAGTTCCTGGCGCGAAAACCGCTAACCCGGGAGCCGGAAAAGCTGGGAGGCTGAAATTTTCGGGAAATTTTCCCAGCATATATACAACTTAAAGTTATCGAATACAGCCCCTCGATTTACGTGGTTCTCATGTGCGGCCTCGTGGAAATTTTTTGGCGAGAAAATGGCTAGCTCGAGAACCAGGAAAGCTGCAAGGCTGAAATTTTCAGGGAATTTTCCCGACAAATGTGTAACGTAAATTTATCGAATTCAGCCTCCAGGCACGCATGCTTTTCAAGTACTGCCTCGTGAAATTTTTTTGGCGGGAAAATGGCTAGCTCTAGAAATAGACGAGCTGGGCTGAAATTTTAAGGGTATGTTCCCAAACCTCCGTAAAAGTTAAAGATGTCCAATTCAGCGCCCAGATATGTGTGGTTCTCGTGTACGGACCCATGAAATTTTTTGGCAGGAGAATTGTTAACTCAAGGACCAGAGAAGCTGGAAAGATGAAATTTTAAAGGAATGTTCCCTATCAACTACCGCGTAGACATATTGGTCTTCGAAGTTCGGGAAGTTGTTCCCTATTAACTTCCCAAGCTTCGAAGACCAGTATCTCACAAATCCTAGCTACTAATTTTTGAGCGATCTCATTACAACACGAAATACTGCGAAAACACATGATCGCACGTGCGCGCCTGGTGCGCGTCGCCAATGATTTTTTCTGATGCCGAGTCAGTAATTTTAGTGCGGGAAGTTTTGTATGTAATTGAGACGTACGTGTGCGTGGAAGCTGAATTCAAGTTTCCTGGGTCACTCATGGGGGATAAGCGTTCTCCTAAAATTTCAGCATTTTTGCTTTTCCGGTTTCTGAATTAGTAAGAATTCCCGCAATAACTCCCAGTTGTTCATCCGGGAAAACTAGGCGCACTTAGGGAATGAATTTGAAATTTTTAGTTCGTACGGACAGAAAACATCCTACAGGAGTTTAAACTCCCTGGCTTTCCTTGTTCATGAGGTAGTAATTTCTCCGCCAAAACTATTGGCTTATCTGCATGTAAGGCGTAGGCTTGCTTAGGAGCTGAATTAAAAATCTTTGAGCTACAGATGGGGAGAGAACGTCATCCTATAATTCCAGCCCCCTACCTTCACTAACTCCCGAGTTAGTGACTTCCCTTCAAAATTTTCAAATATTTATGCGTGAGACGTAGACGTGTGTGGAAGTTAACGTTTCTGGGGGGTTACACTTTGTCGCAGAATATACTGGCAAACTTTTTGTTTCTGATTTTGCTTGATTACCAAGTTGGAATATCCGGACAGACGAACATTCACACCCTCAAACCATCAGCCGTCATAAAATGCGTTTTTGCTGACCCTAACGCGCTGCACTACGAAAACGCATAATAACCATTAGCTCAAAAGTCTAACGCGTGCTGCGTTCTGCGGAGGGTGAAAAGGCTACGGCGACAAAGAAAGATCAATTTCGCCTGCATCAGCCCTGTCACGCACTTTGTTTCCTAAACATTCTTTCGCGTTTGCGTTGCCAAATATCGCCATTTATCGGTTCATTTCTTTCCAAAAAATGAAATAATGAAATGTACGCGTTTCTTTGAGGTTTCAGTTTCCATAATAGGAAGTGGATAAAAACCTCGGTGTTTACGATCTCTGACCAAAGCAAATCAAGCTTGCTGTGGGTCTGTCGTTTTAGAGCTTTCGTCCGCCGAGGCCAAAAATTCATTTTTGCAATCACTAGTCCCATTGCTTACATTACTATCACAAAATTGGCTTCGAAAATCGTTTTCTTGCAAGTATTTGTCGATAGCGCGTTCTTCACTAAAACAACTAGTGTGCCGTGACCCTTTGAAATTTGCTCACTATAGCGATTGCGGTTTGTCATTTCTGCAGTTGAATTTTGGTGATTGTGCACATTTGTTTAAAATGAAGTTTACTACTATTCCTGTAATTCTGAAAGTTTCCTAAAAAAGCAAATCTTCTGCTCCAGTGCTTTTCACTTCCAAATATATGTCTTACTGCTTCAGCAAACATGTTTTTCACTGTTCTGCAACAAAGATCCCGAAATTTTCTATAATTGCTAGTTTTTCGTTTTGTTATTCCGCACAATTCGCAAATTCTTTTCCGCATGGTCCCGTTTGTAACATATTTTGAACGAAAAAAAGGAGCAAATTGCGGAGAATTCTGAAATATTTGCGCATTGCGATATATTGATCGTAATACACGATAACAGTGACGAGGAAATGTTGCAGACAGAGGGTATTACAATGTGTGCGTGAGCGCGCCATTTGCTGTATAATCAGTGACCTTGACTGCGAAATCATGATGATACCGGAGACGGTGATAATGATAACGATAGCAGTACTGATAACGGTGACGGAAATAAGTCGTAACAAAGTTCAGTGTAACATTCATCTAGTTTTGAGCGAAAAACCACCAGTCTTTAGCTTTCGAAATTTCAAAATTGCGCCATGTTTCAAAATTGGCAAATATTCCGGTGCATTTCCTGGAAGCACTTCTATCGCTGGAATATCCACGCTGATAGTCCGGACGATCTTGGTATCCGAGTGTTTTAGTGCACTTAATAGGCAGCGAAACAAAAGTAAACTTCAGATGAAATGGATGAACCACAATAAGTAAAGTTAAACATTTCGCACATGAAGATTGACAAAAGGATCTTTCCGTTTTGCACAAAATTTTGTTTTAAATGCCGACCCGCCGCCTTAGAAACTGACAACTGTTCAAGCTATTTACTATGAATTTTGCACGGAGAGCTGGGATTTTCTGTAGAATTGAAATCGTTATTTGAGATCAGTGAAAAATCCAAGTGGTGAGCACCGGACATGCGATTTTGCATGAATGCAATAACAGACAGGCAAAAACGCACATATATAGTCTCTTATCAATATGCATTTGTGGATTTGCATAAATAAGCAAAAACGTAAAATTAAGCTAGAACAGTCTGAACCGCCTTGCTTGGGGTTACTGGATTGTGTATTTAAGAGAAGATAGCTGAGCCTACTGTATGTTTGTATGAAAAATACTGGATTAAATTCGGTTTAATTTTTCGATAAATCGAATGATTTATTGAGGTGACTTATTGGACAACCGGTTAAGTGACCCTGCATAATTTGTTGGGAAATGTAATCCATTTTGATTGGTTTGGTTGGAAAACGATGCGTTGCTCATTTTAGTTAAATTGCCCAGCATACTCATATCCTGAAAATGGCAATTCAAGAATGCTTGTGTGGGCATAAAGCCAATAATTTCGATTGTCCATTGCTATGTTGCAGTTTCGTAACTGCGCATGCATAAGCACGATCAGCCTCTTCCGTAGGTGTAAATATTGGAACTAGCCTAAAATGTGAGCAAAAAAAACCCTTTTTTGAAGCAATTCATGTTAGACTGCATTGCGGGATGAAAATTAAGTCGAAATGATGGACATTTCAATCAACATGAAGTAGAAAGAGGAATTGGCACACTTGTAAATGAATCAGTAGTAACTGGCCTTCTTTCTTCCCTTACCGGATTTTGATCACGCGTTTACGTGTATTTTACTGAATACCACAAAATATTTACATGTCTGTGTGTATTTGTTTGAATGTTTCTGCATTTGCGCGTGTGTGTGTGTGTGAAAGGCATTGTTCTGGTGTGATACTTAGTGAAACAATTTCATTTTTGTTCATTTGCAAAACTGCCTTCTACATAGCCTTGTATGTGCTCTTCTTCCTGCCGTGGAGTCATTAATACTTTTATGTATTTCCTTTCTGAGCTAAAAACCAAAAGTCATTCTGTGTTATCAAATCATTGTGCCCAACCCGGAAGTGGCTTTCCAATGCTACTGCCGTTTCGTAACAGCCACGGACTTTCATTAAAATGCTTAGCTGGCCACTGATATTTCAGCTACTCAGTGATCGAAACAAGTAAAAAACCTTTAGAGCTGCACCCGCATTGGTACCACTGAAGCCGAATGATTATTCCGCATCTGAGGAAACCTTTCGCTTCAGCCGCCAAGATGTTCTGAAAAAAGACTAGCAAAAGGCTCATCATACGCTGGGATCTGTTCGAATAACTATCTTCTGCCAGGGCAACAAAATTTTTTCGTGGAACACAGATGAGCTTGCCGACAATCGCTTTTTATGCGTTTTTTGTGTTTTTGCATATATGCAAATGCGAAAACGCATATTGCGACGGACCCGGTGTACGTCTGTCTGTCTGTCCGATATTTCAACTCGGTACCTAAGCAAGCTCCGGCGCCAAGATTTTGCCAATGGATTTCTCGGCCAAGTACTACCCTAGGACAGTGGTACCGACCCTCATGCAATTCGAGGCCCCGCGCATGAGCGTCTCAAAGTTTTGGCGGGAAAATGGCTAACTCGGGAACCAGGAAAGCTGGGGGCTGAAATTTTCAGGGAATATTCCCAGCACATATACAACTTAAAATTACTAAATTTAGCTCCTCTCCGTGCATGGTTCACACGCATGGCCCCGCAAAAATTTTTGTTGGGAGAATGACTAACTCGGGGACTGTGAGGGCTGGAAAGCTGAAATTTTGATATGGGTCCTCTGTCCATGTACCAAGTAATAATTAACTTCCCGAGCTTTGAGCATCAGTATTTCACACATTCTGGCTGTGGGTTTCCGAGCGATCTCATTACAGCACTGAATACTGCAAAAACGCATGATCGCTCGGGCCCGCCTGTTGCGCGTCGCCAATGATTATAAAATTTTTTCCAGGTTGGTAATGAGGCCGAACAAGGCTGCGGTTAACGGACCTCTGTTCGAACATAACATTGAATCATTACGAACTGGATTCCAGCTATTAGATCCTAATCGAACTGGCTTCATTTCCTATAAACAGGTCGATGGTGTCTTGTCATTTTTGGCAAATTTTGATCTTCAGTTTTTGTTGTAAATTATTGAGGATGGGATAAAATTGAGCAGCAGAGACGAAGTTGCTTTTTTTTTAATTATCACAATTCGGTCACGCTCGTCCTTCTCGTTCTCACACTTCGAAGACACTGAATAAGTCCGCATGCGAATTGCAGTAACTATTCTATTAATTTCAGAGGGCCGGGATTTTTTGGATTTAATTTCAAAACACGTCATCCCTAGCACATCCCTCTCTCCTTCTCTCCCTCCCTTTCCCGATCCTTATCTCCTTCTCTCCCCTTCACTTTATCCTCATTCCCTGATTTTAGATACGTCCGCTTCGTCATGCTCTATTTATGCAACGTTGGTGTATTTTTCAAAGATCAGTTGAGAGCGGTCACTTCGCTTCCCTGACTCGCTGTAGCAACTTGTAAGAAAGGCATTCTGTTATTGGGGCTTTTTCCGCACGACAACTCAGTAACTTGCACAGCCGTAGCATAGCTATTAACTAAACGCATCGAAAAACGCCGGATGCGCACCAAATTTTACTTCTATCTTTAACTGTTCACTTAAATCGAAAAGCTGTGGCGCAAATAGCTCGAGCTTCAGGATACTTTGACTGTTTGTACAATTTGACTCAGTTACCTGCATCCAGCTTTCTTTCATTTTTCAGCTCTGCAACCACTGGGATGAACTTCCGGTGCTTGGCACACCCAAAAACTTTCTGGAAGATCTGCACGATATGACTCTGCCTGACGGAACACTAACTTATGATCGATTCATCGGTGCAGCACAAAGCACTGTCAACGGCCAGTTGAACGGCACGAAAAACGACCTCGAAAAGTAAGGCCTTTCTTGTAACATCTAATTTTCATGAAACTCTAGTTAATTGTTGAACGGTTGATAGATGCTACCCACTTCAAAACTCTCGGTACTGCTGCTTTCGGTGTGCTTTCCGTGTGCTTGTTGTTGCCTCTTTTGCACTGTTAATCCATGTGAGTTCAGAAGAGAATGACCGTTTTCCTTTAGCACGCTAAAAGTGTGCCAGGCAGCGTTCGCCAAGTGAAGCAGTTAACAGCGATTGGAAATTCTGAGAAACTCGAAACTGGAAATCCCTTTTTATAAAGTCTCCCTTCATATCTGCTCCTAACTGCTCGAACTCAGAAAATTGCATTTCTGGAGAAGGTTTTTATGCGTTTTTGCCGTGCAGCGCTAGAGCGCTGCAACAGGCAGCAAAAACGCATGTTGGAA